CAGATATCAGTTGAAATTTCCAAACCACGGTTAATTGGTACTTTATAATAAAAATGACCTAACAAATAGTAGATAACTCAGAAAATCTATTGGTATAACGCTGAAAGCATTTAGGTATAGATTCACCATTTTTATTATAAGAGATTCAGGTCAGTTCAGTCTATAGTACTCCCCCTTCCCTGTGAAAAAGAAATACATAAATAGCACAGCAAAATCTATCTAACCTCTTTCTTCTTAGATCCCATTCACACCTGAGCGATTTGTAGCGCGAAGCTCCAATACGCTTGAGGAGAAAAAAAAATCAATTATTTTTAACCACTTAATCTCCGGAAGATTTCCCCACCTTCCTGACCGGGCCATTTTTTGTGATAAGGCACTACATTACTTTAACTGACAATTGCACAGTGATGCAATGCAGTGTATACAAAAAAATGTATGTAGTTTTTTCCCCCACAAATAGAGCTTTCTTTTAGTGGTATTTGATAACCTCTGAATTTTTTATTTTTTGTGCTATAAATAGTTATAGTGTCTACAAATGGCGGTATCTATATACACTGGAATTTAGTTTTTTTTTAATACTAGTAATGGCGGTGATCAGTGACTTATAGTGGGACTGTAATAGTGCAGCAGACATTTTGACACTGACACTTTGTGGGAACCAGTGACACTAATACAGTGATCAGTGCTAAAAATATACACTATCATTGTAGTAATAACACTGGCTGGGAAGGGTTAAACATCTAGGGCGATCAAAGGGTTAATTGTGTGCCTAGCCAATGTTTTTGTGTGCACTGTGTACGTTTCACACTAGGCAAACTGCTAGAATTTATTTTCTGAATAAAACCTAGCAGATCGCTGTTGACATAACACAGCCCTGCTCTGTTCACACAGTCAGAGCTGTGTTTTTTGTCACTGTCCTCTGCAATAACCAGGGTGCCAGCACCTGTTGATTGACTTCTACTTTGTCCAATCACAGCAGAAGAAGTGGTCCTGTCGCAGGAAGGCGCCCCCCCCCCCATGACAGAAATGCAAAACGACAATTAGAACCATGATTTTGCAAAGAACATCTGCCCTGTAGCAGTAAATCTGCTATAGGGCGGAGGTCAAGTGAGTAATGGAGATGGTTCACATCTCCAATCCAAGTTGCCTGAAGCTCAAACAAGTTCTGGAGCATTTATTGTCACGCAAAATCAGATATTTGTGTGTTTTTCATTCCATAGAATTGAATAGAAATGATTTCCGCATTTTTGTCGTGCATTTTTCTGCTCAAATGTAAAAATAAATAAATACATGATAAAAAAAAAATAATCATAAATAAATATTAAAGAAAGAAAATAAAAAATATAATAAACAAATAATTAACCCCTAACCCTAAAATAAATAAATGAGGACCATAAAATAAATATTAACCCCTAACCTCAACCCCTAATTATAACCCTAACACCTAACCTAACTTTAACCCCTTTACCCCAAAAAGAAAAAAAAAAAAAGAAACAATAATAATCATAATAATAAAAAATTCAATAAAAGCTGATGGAAAAGCTAAAAAAAAAGCTGAAAAAACCTAGCAACAAATGATGAAACAGATGAGATATTTTTCCTTACTGGCTATCATAAAAACTCCACAGATCAAAAATGCTTTAAAAACGTGCATACAAATTCACAACAAAATGCTCAAGAAAACCTCCAAAAAACACAATGCTCAGGTGTGAATGTAGCCTTAGCTTCCTTGAGTTGGTGACTTAGAAATCCTTGCTGACAGCCCTGTGCTGACGTGGTGTCCAGCATGCAGCACAACAGTACCTACATGTGACCCAAAGTACCAGTATGTTCCCAACCAGCCAGCAAAATACTACCTATGTGCAACCTTTCTGCACCAATCACGGTGCTGTAAGACTGCCCCAAGCTGGCAGGCATATTATTGTTCAACTGCTGTAATCTATTAGTTGGAAGGAACAAGTGACGAGTGCATCAATTAGAGGGCTGTGACTCCAGAGTTATTTAACATATCTGCAGTTTGTGTCTGTCTCTTTAATCATAACTGCAGTCTTCAACCTTCTCTCAGATTTGTTGTAGTTGATCTTACAGTTCACCTTATAAATATTTGATATCACTGCTAACATACATTCTCAGTATTTAATATAAATTTATTTATAGACTCTAAATATTACAATTTTATATAACAAAGTACAGTATATTACTTATTTTATTATTATTATCTTATTTTACTATTGTTTTAATACTGAACAGTATTTTGTGTTTTTTTGTTTGTTTTTTTAACACTCAGCTGCTTCTTCACCTTTTCTGGAAAGACACTAAAAATGTCACACATCAAGGATGTGCAAATCCTATCGCCCGGGACATGCAGTTCCGGGGCGACCGGCAGGTTGTTTTTCCTTACACTTATGCAGGCCATAGATGGGTCGAAAATCGGCCGATTTTTCGGCCGAAAATAAAATCGGCCGATTTTCGGATCGTTAGTGGGCTATTTGGTCGGCCATTTTTCGGGATTTTGGCCGTTTTATTTTTTTGGTAAAGTTGGAAAAAAATCGGCCGATCGGCCGATTTTCGCGGCATTAATGGGCTAATCGGCCGATTTTTTACCGATAAAAAATCTGCGCATGAGCAGTGACCTGCAAGAGGAAGACAAAAAGAAGAAAAAGAAGAAGAGGAAGAGGATGAAGAGGAAGAAGAAGAGGATGAAGAAGAAGAAGAGGATGAGGAAGAAGAAGAAGATGAGGATTGAAGAAGAGGAGAGGATGAGGAAGAAGAGGATGAGGAAGATGAAGAAGAAGAGGATGAGGATGATGAAGAAGAAGAGGATGAGGATGAAGAAGAAGAAGAGGATGAAGAAGAAGAAGAAGAAGAGGATGATGATGAAGAAGAAGAGGGTGAAGAAGAGGATGAGGATGAAGAAGAAGAGGATGAGGAAAGAAGAAGAGGATGAGGATGAAGAAGAAGAGGATGAGGATGATGATGATGAAGAAGAAGATGAGGATGAAGAAGAGGATGAAGAAGAAGAAGAAGAAGAAGAGGATGAGAATGAAGAAGAGGATGAGGATGAAGAAGAAGAAGATGAGGATGAGGATGAAGAAGAAGATGATGAAGAAGAGGATGAAGAAGAAGAAGAAGAGGATGAAGAAGAAGAAGATGAGGATGATGATGAAGAAGAGGATGAGGATGAAGAAGAAGATGAGGATGAAGAAGAAGAAGAAGATGAGGATGAAGAAGAAGAAGATGAGGATGAAGAAGAAGAAGAGGATGAGGATGAAGAAGAGGATGAGGATGAAGAAGAGGATGAGGATGAAGAAGAAGAAGAGGATGAGGAAGAAGAAGAAGAAGAGGAGAGGATGAAGAAGAAGAGGATGAAGAAGAATAATAAGAAGAAGAGGATGAAGAAGAAGAGGATGAGGATGAAGAAGAAGAAGAAGAGGATGAGGATGAAGAAGAAGAAGAAGAAGAAGAAGTAGGATGAAAATAAGAGGAATTCCAGTCCAGCAAAAAGTGTCTCTGCAGAGAGCTCCGCTATTTCTTTGACAGTTCTCTGACAGTTCCTTGACATTTACAGCGTTGCAACATTGTATCTATTTGTTTCCGAATAAAAACATCTGTATCCTAAATGGAAACAAATAGATACAATGTTGCAACCGCTGTAAATGTCAAGGAACTGTCAGAGAACTGTCAGAAATAACAGAGCTCTCTGCAGGGACACTTTTTGCCGGCTGTAGACGGGATGAAAATCGGCCGATTTTTTTTAACATTGGTGGTAACGTCGGCCACTTGAACGACCGATTGTTCATTTTTTTAAAAGAAAAATTGGCCGATTTTCGACCCATCTATGGCCTGCATTAGCCCTGCTGCGGGCAAGCAGCAGGTCTTGCTTAAGAAAGTGATGGATAAACTCTGGGGCAGACAGGCTGCAGCTGTGCATGCTCAGTGTCTGACACTCCTTCACATAGCACACATCTCCCCTCCCTCCACGCATAGACGGGAAGGAGAGAGATAACACTTTGCTCCACCTCTTCCCGCCCCTCTACTCCGTGACTGCCCGAGAGCGGGAAATTTGAAGATCCATCCAGCTGTATGATTGCCGATGTCTGAGCCTGCAGAGAGCAGCCTGAGGATGAGCGATCTCTGCTCTATCAGGGAGCTTTCCCCATCTCCTTCCTTTCTCTCCTTATCTACCTCCCCCCTCCTTGTTCTTCCAGGAGCTTCACACTTAACTATTTCATTTCCAGTTAGCAGCTGAACTTTGACTAAAGGGGGCACTCCGCTGAGCTCTGACTGAAGGGGGCACCCCACTGAGCTCTGATGGAATGGGGCACCCCGCTGAGCTCTGACTGAAGGAGGGACCCCGCTGAGCTTTGACTGAAGGGGGCACTCCGCCAGGGTCTGATGTAAGCAGGGACTCCACTGAAAACTGATGTAAGGGGGGACTCTGATGTGCAGGGGTAAAAATGGGAACTTTGATGTCCCAGGGTGCAGTGCTGGAGACAGGCAGGGAGGGAGGAGGAGATAAACAGCGCAATGTTAAAAAATATAAAACATTTAGGTTGCCATAAAGCCCCTTTTTTTGTTTTTAAAACCCCCAGATATTCCTAATATCACCTCATCATAAAAAACATCAACCCTTCATGTTTTCCATCCTGGCAGAGTCATTTCATGGTTTAAAGGGACATCCATCCATTGAAAATCCCTAGTGATAAAACTGTCTCATTTATTCAGTAATAGTATAAAAATAAAGACCTTACTTAAATACGGTTTTGATTAAAATTATTATTTTTTTATCAGGACAAGTAGATTGTCATAAGGGACAAGTGGTTTGAGACCCCGATTTAGTCCCTTGGACAAGTAATTTTTTTAAAACATTTCCACATCCCGGCACATCCATTCTGAATTGATATGCATTTTGATGTTACCTTTTTCTCTTGTAGGGTAATTACTATAAAGCACAATTTTAAAAATACAGTCTTTATCTTCTGCTCCATGATGTGCATTAGTTAACAATGTAGCAGATACAAAGTAATACTTACTTTATTTACAGCATTAATGTTCGCTCCATGTTCCAGTAGCTGATTTGCTATGGCCAGCGATGGAATAAGAGCAGCAAGATGAAGGGCTGAATTTCCATTGACATCTACGATGTTGGGATCTGCGTCATGCTCTAATAAAACAGTAGCACAGTGTTCATGCTGACACTGTATAGACTAGTGAAATAAAAAAGAAAAAAAATTCTTGTCATACAGCAGAACTCTCATACCCTTTGCACAAATGTTTTATTATTATTATTATTATTTATTATTATACAGTATTTATAAAGCGCCAATAGTTCGCTCAGCGCTTTATTCAACACATTCAACAGGTACCTTGATCAAAGGAGTTCGATTGTCATTGTCACAAAGATTTATCTTTGCCTTGCTATCTACCAGCAACCTCACAGCATCCATATGTCCATTAGCACAAGCAAGATGTAAAGGTGTCCTGAAAGAAATGAATAGGCATATGTCATCAATTACACTGTCATGTCTGAATTTACATTACAATTTCCCATGTTTATAGGGAATTTATTGTGTGTATTTTTGATGAAAGCACATTTTGTGTTATTGTGTATTAGTGAAATAAAATACATAAATGTGAACAGGTTCTAATGTCTATGGCCAGCTATTTTATGGCTTTATGTAGACAGACTGATCGTTGTACCAAAAGAGACAAACAAACAATCACCATAATAAAGCCCAACTCCAGAAATTAGACAAACTACCCTTTCAGTGCCTCCCTGAACCCAACCCCTCACACACTGCAAGGGTTCACTGAGGGTAGGGTAGCTGCAGAGGCTGTATTACTTTACGTTATCCTGGCCAGCTCCAAGGTTCTTCTCCTCTTCCACTCCAGACTATGGGCAGTCCCTTGGCATCATCATGTACAATGAAGGGCTATTAACCCTGTAATGTACATGGAAGAAGCAGGACTGTGATCATAGCCAAGTGTACTTTAACAAGGAACCTGCAGAGTACTGATAACGCTTGAGGGACGCTGATGGAGTGAGGAATGGGCAAGTATTACACCTTATTCCTGCACTTTCTGCACCCCTAGTGCCCACTGCAAGGGTGGATTTTGTTTAATTCCTAGAGTTTGTCTTTAAGCAGAAAGGACTGCATGAAACAAGCAAATATAAAATCAATAAACAGGTATTTATTATTAACAATAATTTATATAAAAGTCAGTAAACTAATAAAATTCATATACATATTTAAAAAAAGTATTTTTTTTCTTTTTTTTAAATTATACTTACCTAGGTGGATGCAGCAACGTTCCAATGCTGCATCTGTCATTTCTCATTACTAAGTGTGAGAAATGAGTGATCAAACACCACTGGTCACCCAGTTCCTCCCTGCCACACTGAGCGGAGAGCAGTGACTGCCAGTCAACGCTGTCTGCTCTGACCACCCCACTTACTGGATCGCTGGGCTGTGGAGGGGTTGGGAGTGGCTGGCTCAGGCTAAAGTGTCAGATGCATTAGCATCTTCTATAGAACACATTCAAGTATCAGGTGCATGTGCGTTTTCTATATAACACAATCATAAAGTGTCAAGTGCATATACATTTTATATATAACAAAAACCTAAAGTGCCATGTGCATGTGTAAATTCTATATTATCGAATGCACATATAACCATTAAACACATATATATTATGGGAAATCAAGGCACAAAGTCCTTAAACATAACTCTTCTTGGAAATCTTCTCTTTACTTCAAAAATTAATGTTTCACTACCAAATATATTGGATAAGTTCCCCAGAGATTAATGATGATGTCTACTTTTAAACCTCTTTGCTCTGGGACAGAATCCAATCTGAGACACCTTAAATCACCTGCATACTGTGTATCCACCACCAGATGTACTAAATTGGACTCACCAGAGGATATTGCTGGTAAGATTATAAACCAGCCCACAAAGCATTCCCCTCTAGGAGTAATAGTCTGCTGCATTGCACCACAAACTCTCTTTTTAGGAGACTCTAGGATCACCAGGACATATATTCCATCATATTCAATAGGGAGAAGAAAAAGGAAAGAGCGTGCATAGCATGGAATCCTTAAAAATGCTTTATTTGTAAAAACATTTCAAAATCACTCACATTTAAAAGTGTTTCCACTGGCACTTGTGTAAACCGCTTAAACAGGTATCACTGTCCGGCTGCTATCCCAAATCGCAAGCGCAGACAGATGTGCGTGGTGCGTCACCATGCACATCGGGTCTGCACTCGATGTTTGGCATAGCAGCCAGAGAGAATTATACAGAAAATGTATATGCACTTGACACTTTACAATTGTATTATATAGAAAATGCAAATGCATCTGACACTTTAGCAATTTAGTAGACACATTTATTCATTGATGGACACTGTGAGGGAAAATGGAACAGCCATTTTATATATCAAACATTTAGTTTTGGTTAAGTAGATATATTGAATGTATATTTTGTTATTAGAAGTCTTATTGTGTAACAGCTGTATTTCTTGTGTTAGCATGCTATTTGCACCTCCAGCTGGGAAGATTGCTATCTAAAGAAGCAATGGGAAGTAACATACCTGTGTGAATGTTCATTTATATTTCAATGAACTCCACCAGAAACCAGAATTAAACTTCAAAGCAGTCAGATAGCTAGGTTCCCACCCATCTTAGGACATATAAATTGTTTTAGATTTCCAAGACAGTTAAAGCATTACTTTGAATCCAATACTGTATTGTTCTACTCTCCCTGCATGTAGGTCTAGCTACATGCTTGTATATTAAACACAGCTACTTTTCAATCTGGCTTCAGCAGTCAAAAATGTTACTGAAACCCATGAGTTTTGGGTTTCCCCGACAGACACTAAATAGCGCTGTCCCCCTTTTTCACATAGCTGGATTGCTTTTACAAGCAGCGAAAGGGAAGGGACGTCCACTGACTGACCATAGAGGTAGTCGAAGACCAAAACGGTTCCAATTGTCTCCAATTGTGTAGGAAACTGGAAGCAAATGAGCATTCATCACTTCCAGTTTCACCAAAATGTAAACTCAGTAAAGAGTACCTGTAACTGCCTATCACAGTGGACATTTATATTTCCTGTGATAAAAATAAAAGTGAAAAAAAAAGTTAAATAAATAAAGTGACAGTTTAAAAAACAAAAAATAAATAAAAAGGAAGGGAAAGTGCCCCTGTCTTCCCATGCTCACACACAAAATCGAACGCACGTGTCAGTCCCCCATGTGCCCAAACAGCGATTGTATCATCACGACCGTTAGATCGAGGGCAGTAATTCTTGCACCAAATCCGTGGAAATCTAAAGTGATAACCTGTAAAAGCTTTTAAAACTTTGCCTACAGATAACAAAATTATATGTTGTTTTTTCTAAAAAAAAAATTTGCGTTTGAAAAACCCCTGTACAATTAACGCATGACATAAACATTTACAACACCCACCATCTTATTCTCTAGGGCCTCTGCTTAAAAAAAAAAAAAAAAAATATATATACAAAACATATATATATATATATAATATATATATATTTTCTTTAATATGCAACAGAGTTCCTAGCAAAAAAATACTGATTTTTACATAAACAAAAAGTGTCAGAAAAGGCTTGGGCTTTAAGTGGCTGAAAAAAAGTTTTCTTTAATGTATAAAGCCCCCTATAGATTTTATTGTGAAAGAACATTGGATGACATTAACTTTTATTTTGTTTATTTCTCCTTTTGATCAATAAAAATAAGACTACTGTACAATAAAATGATCACAAAAAGGTATGATGGATTGAAACTTTAAAAAATGTTACACAGTAACACATAGGCAGTGGCACATACTGTATACTACAAATGAACAATACAATGTAACATATGTCGGTGGAAAGCAGACCTGGTGCTGGGTTCCTATGTCAGTGTGAAGTATCTAATCTAAGGTCTCTATAACAACCATGTTATATATCTCTGTAAACACCAAGGAAAAAAACAAATTGCAGTTGCTGTGAATTGACAAGCTAATAAACTGCCCTGGAGAATTATGTGTAAACAGTATGGTTAATGGGAAGACAACAGTTCATAATTTCTCCTGCAGCTGACACAAGTAACTGAAACAAAAACGAATGTTATAAAGAAGGAACCCTGGCAATACATTGTGCCAAAGGAATGTATTTTCCTACAGCATTTCAGAAAGGCAGAAAATGAGTTTCCAGCCACCCAAAATCTTAGTAATGAAGGAGTTCCAAAGCAAAAGGAGCATACAATGAGGTAATAGAGATCATAAGAAACCATATGAGGTACCTAACTGACTCACTGTGGTTTCATTTATCGTGTGTGATTTTTAATATGGTGATATGTTTTTTTTATCTATAATGGTTATCTGGGTTGTGATATATTCAATGTGAACAATTGCTCTATTATACCTTAGATTGTACACCCCTTGGGGTTAGGGACTGATGTGAATGTACAATATATACGTAAAAGCGCTGCGTAAATTTACGGCGCTATATAAGTACCTGAAATAATAATAATATTAGTATTACTAATATTTTGAATCCCTTGATTCTATTCATGCAAAGCCATACCTCTATGTTTGTATGTTATGGCTCTCTCTTTATATACGCATTGGTTAGCGGTCCCTTCCCAGGCCAAGCAACCTCTGATCTGTAGTCATGCATCTGTGTCTTTATTCTGGCTTCCAATGGGCGGGGTTTGCTGGCCGCTGTATGCACATACAAAGGAGTGTAGGTATTCCTCTGTATGAAAGGCTTGAGAAAGAGGCGCTACCAGGGGCGGACCGACAACTCATGGGGCCCCCGGGCAATAGGGGATCATCGGCCCCTGTGTCCTTGCCCAAACTCAAAAAAGCCTATGAAAAAGGTACCAGGGGCATCTTATGGGGCCCCCTACTGACCCCAGGCCCTCGGGCAGTGCCTGAGTTTCCAAATGGTCAGTCCGCCCCCTGGGCGCTGCCGCCTTGAAATGTGTAGGTATGCCCCTTGATCTCATCAGCCAAGCTTCCCATGCTGTCACACTGGCTTCTGAGCTGTATCCTCTGGTTTTGAGCTTGTGCATCTCCTAACACTAACGATGTTGCTCCCATCTACTTCACATGATCCAGGTCCTTATAGACGACAGCTTTTAGCTTGATCTGCACTTTTATTCCTACTTCATTTGAGTGGCTAATTTGCATTTTTTTTAAAATAAATTAGCATTTTGCATAAATTACTTAATCTGCTGCACTAGAAACTCTCATTTGTGTCTCCTTTACAGTGCAGAGCAAGCACTGTGGTGTCCAGAAGAGTGCAGATAGCAGTGTCCTCTCTCAACTATAAATAGGCTCGTTAGGATCTGCAAATATCTTGCCATCAACCTGATGTAATCCTGGACAACAGTGGAAGAGAAAGGGTCAACACTGTAAGCCAATCAGAGTTTTTGCTCACTGCTAACAGCCTCCCTTCCAGAACAGGCTTACAGG